CTTCATAAATAAATTAACCTATTTAGCTAACTGTTATCAGAAAATAAAAAAATCTTTGAACATACATTAATCCAAAAATTTTCTCAGCCAATTAGGTTCTGAATTGAGTATTAAAGAAAACTCATTAAAATAATAGTAAATTTTTAAATAAAAAAACCTCAAGTTTCATTTTACTCCTTGGTCCCCAGGCTCTAAATATTGCAACAAGCTCTGTCTATGTGCAAAGGTTTAGGATGGAGTGTTCGCACACCAGACTGTAGACGAAATGAACAATGGAAACAAGCAGAGATGACATGTTTTGCTCGAATTGCTTCAATTAAAGTTAGACCCTATGCCCAGAGGTTCAGTGGCTTTGCTCCCTGTTATAAAAAACGTCCTTCTTTTAACATCAGCATTTTGTTTCCTAGCAGAAGCATTCCACTGAGATTTTATGCATCTCATCAACACTGTTCCATCTCCTATGCTAAACGTCCTATTACGAAAGGTTTGCAGCGTCTGGAAGCTGGAAGGGGCTGTGCCCAGGCTATTCCAGCAGCTTAGCTATTGCATTGGCACATCTCCAGCTTCTCTGCTAAATACATAATTAAATCTCACGGTCGACATGGTGTGATTCATTCCCATAAAGTGTGAAAACAAACAACTGTGCATGCGCTGTCCCCAATTTCAAATTCAAAACAAAAATATCCTGGAATCTTCTATTTCCCTTAAGTTCCAAATGTAATTAGACCGTTTTTAAAGGCAAGTAGTCTTCCAGTTTCCATGTGTTAAATCCAATCTGTCAGTTACAAATGGGGGGTGGGGGGACAAACGACTGCAAAATGTAACATCTTGGTTTCCTCTCTTTATAATCAAGTGCTCAAATTGACTTATTTTCCCCTAGAATTACCAAAATGTCATTGCTCTCTCATGCAGAGCCTTTGTTTATTTACCAGTTTACAGCCAAGAGCAAATGTTCACAAGTAAGTAATCAGACCCTCCAAGTGCTGTTGACTAATGCAAACTTACAAACTGCAGCAATGTGACTAGGGGCAGCCGTGATGCTGGTTTTGGCTCAGTTCCATAGCCCTAAGTCACGAGGAATTTAAACAAGATGCCCAGCACCTCTCTGCAGACGTCACTACCAAGTTCTTCTGTAGGGCAACAATTCTTTTCATTTTTCCAAATAAACTTCACATAAAATGAACTAGATTCTTCCAGCTGCCTCCCAGGAAAAATTCAATATATGAGGAACTAAAGTAAAATTTTCTATTTGTAAATAGATATCTCCAGTATATTTGTATTGATGAAATGCAAAATAAATCAGAAAAATATTTATGGAAGAGAGCAAGTCATAAGAGTACATTTTTCTTTTCAATAAACACCAATTTTGTAGCACAAGTCTATAATTAAAATTTAAGTAACTGAATAGGGATTTTAGCTAACCTATGAATGTAAGTCTACAAAAGTTAAATAAATTTTAGGCAAATGTGTGTCATATATAAACATAGCACAAATATACTACTCTTTAATGACTAACAGTATTCTTACATTGTCTTTCATTTTTCTTGTCTGATTATCTTCCATTATACTTATATACTTCTTGAATCTACACTATACATATAAATATACAACTATACTTCCTTATACTACTTATATATATATATTTCCTCTACACTTGAGCTATACTAGATGATATGTTCTCAAACATGGCTTATGCATCCCTGACTCCATAATTCTGCTAATATCTGTTTCCTCCACTGAGAATTCTGTTCCACAAACTGTCAAAACATTTCCCTGATATTTCTCCACCCAATTCAAATGCCATTGAGCTACATATTTGTCTCCTCTTAACCCCTTATAATATTTTATTTGTGCTTCTCTAACTTTTTAAAAATATTAGTATATACATCATATTACTCTACAACTACAAAATTATAAAGACTGATGACAAGAGCTACGTCTCATTCATTTTTAATCTCTTTTTAAAGCCAAGAGCAACATTTTAAAGTTAGTCCCTGCTCAAAAAAGTGCACTGATGGAACAAAGAAATGAATTAGCTAATGTCTTTAGCATGCTTACTGTACAGAAAACTTTTTAAAGCGCAGAGGAGTAAAAATAAGAAACTTTAAAAGTATTCATAATTCATGCATATGTCTTTTGTATGCCTTGTATGTTCAAATAAAATATGTGTGCAATTTGTATTTGCAAAAATATCATTAGTCTATTTTGGAATGTACCACATTGACAGCATTACTGTATATCATTATTAAATGTGTCACTATGATATTTTTCTACATACATTTTATATAGTCATTCATTATGTGGTCACAATATAATTTTAGATAATCTACTGCTAAATATTTTGATTGCGTCTCATTTTTCTGTCTTCATCTCTCCTACTATGTTCTAATTGTTTTCGTAATATAAATAATTATCTACCTCTACTGCTAATTTCATTGCTAAAAATTGCCTACTTTATCATTGTCCCACACCTGAAGCACTGCACCAGCCTCACTGGTCTGCTTGTTTTCACTCTCAGCCTTCTCTAAGACATTCTCAACCAAGCGCACAAGCTGATGCTGTCATCTTTCAGATCATCTCTCCTATTTACTCAGAATATTCCAATGTCTTTTTGTTTTATGCAGAGTAAAAGCCAAAGTCCTAGTAACAGAAACTAGAAGATTCTGTTTGAAGCTCTATTTCCATCCTCCCCCTCATTATTTTTTTTCCCTCTCCAATTTATTGTTTTTCCCTCTCCACCTTGCTCCAGCCGCATTGGTCTCCATGCTCTCCCTCAAACAGACTGATTCTTCTGCCTCAGGGCCTTTGCACTTGCTGCCCCTCTAGATGGTCAACCAATCTCCACACCTAGTAAAATCAAAACTGTCTCCTGTGAACCCAATTGCATTTGGTTTGTATTAAAGCCGTTCGAGTATGTTTACACTCTCCTCTCTTTTGCATCTTCACAGAAATATGAACTCAGTAAGGCCTTCAAATCACAGACCCTATCTCAAACACCACTTCACCTTTGCCATAGACTTTTCACTATATTTCATATTTAATTTGTTTAATGTCTTTCTACTTTATAGACTTTATGTTTCATAAAAGGAGAGATTTATATCTGCTCTATTTATATTGTATCCCCAGCTGCCAGAACTATGTATCTGGCACATAGCGGGTACTTAATAAATATTGGTTGAATAAGTAGATGTTGTGATGAATAGACTTCAGCTAAATCTGTGCCTATATTCAAGATGACTAGGAAGAAAGTGCTCTTTTCAAAATTTAACTATTTATAGTCAAAATAGAAGTCTCTGAAACTGATAAATCAAAGCTTGTCCTTCCATCTCTAAAACATCCGTATGCTTTGGCACGTTGTATGCTCACAGTTAGCAGACTACCCACAAGTATATCCACACGTCTGCTCCCACTCATTGTGTTGTATGTTTAATAGAATCAGTTGTGTTTTTTCCCAAAACTGTCCCTGTCAGTTGTACTTGTTATATTGTAATTGTACAACTTAATTAAATATTAGTAAACCAATAGACCATGGATCTGCAGATAGAATTATAGTACTATGAAAATGCTATTGAATGTTTCAGTAAGACTCAGTAAAGGCAAGTGACTAACAAACTTCAAATATGATAACAATAAAATATTTGAAAAATAACAATTAAAAATATAGGAAAGAGATATACCCATTGCTTTAAAAATTTAAGTACCTACTCTCCTGCTGCCAAATAAAACCCTAGAAATTATAGATGAATCAATATGGATCTGATTTACATTAAAAAATATCATAGTGAACTACAATCATCAAAAATATATGCAAATGAAAGGCCTTAGCCCATGTCAGAATATATACTTATATGTTTAAAGTTAAAATCTTGAGGCACACACACACATATATATGTACATACACACACAAACACATCTTTCTAAATAATTCTATTTTACTCTTACCACAAATTCTAAGAGTAATAACAGATTTATGTAATCTTTCTGCTCCTCAGTTATTTTATCAACAAGGTGAAGAAAATACAAATTGTGCTGCCTACAACAAAGATCTATTAAGAGTAAAACAAAGTTACATATCACAAAGTGCCCTGAGAAGCTATTACAGATGTGTAAGCTGGTGTTATAATTAAATGGATTTAAGGAAAAGCTGAAAGTAATAAAAGACACCTTTACTTCTTCATTCCCCTTAGACATATTCTTTTCTGGAATTATCGAGGCATTTTCACATAATACTGTTCTAAACTTGAAAATTCAAATGCATCAGGCATTCCAAGCATAACTGGAACAAATTCAAATGAACATCAGATTTCCATTTAAATCCAATTTTACTCACTTTCGCCTTCCTCTGTTTCAAGTCTCAGAACACTCTCCTTTCTTATAACTGAGCTCATTTCTCAAGAGTCAAAGAACTCACTTGGGTCAACTTTCTACCTGGGGCACCAACCATCTTCAAGAGCTTCATCTGTGCCTGCATACCAAAGAGATGCTTACACCAGAGCCTTGGCAATGAGTCCTGAAGTGCTCTGTGAATGTAAATGACCTGAAACAAGAGGACTGCAGATAAGTAGGGAGGCCAGGTTTCCATGAGTCCAACCATTCCAACCTTTCCTTGCATCGCCTGAAACCTACACAGGTGGCAACCAGACCCCCTCTGACTATGTAGCTGCTCTGCTCTCCTTCCTGCGGGAGAGCCATTTCATCAGCAGTTATGACAGTAATGCCATACATCTATTTAGGTTCTGCTTTGAGAAAATGAAAAGCGTTTCACAATTGCAAAGGCTTCAACAGGAAGGGTATTAGAATTGGTGTTCAGGGCATGTCATTTGGGTTTAAATCCTTACACTTAGCATGTTGTGATCTTGTGCAAGTTATTTAAATTCTCTTAGCCTCAGTTTCCATGTTGTTAAAAACAGGCATAAAATGCCTACTCTAGATTGAATAACTTAGGATTTTGAAAATAATTTAAAATAACATATTTAAAGCACCTATTTACCAGGACAAGTAAAGTGGGAAGCTATTACTGTTATGTTTTTAAATTACATAATTTAAAGCTAAGACAGAATGTTATCATATTTCAGTATGACAGGTAAACAGAATCCAGCTGTTACAGAAATATTTTTATAATAGAAGAGCAACAAAAATGAATGGTAGACATACAAATTTCATTTCTATGACCTTCTCACAAGCCTCAGATGTTCAATTTAGTCTCAGAGAGATTTGTTTTCTAGATCTTTCTTTGGACTAAAGACATATACATAAATAAAGGTTTGAATAAAACAACCCCAGAATTTCAAGACACCTTATTCAAGAAACTGTATTTAAAGACACCTGATTTGTGTATTATAAATAACATGTTTTTTAGTAATTGAAATGAAACATTTTCTAAATGTCTGTTTCTCAATTACCTCTAAATATATGTCAATGAAATTATCTTTAAAACTAATAATAAATCATTGTAACATGACATAGTAAGAACATATAATACCATAATTATACACACAATCCTGATACATTTTCTAAGTTGCTTTAAATAGATTTCTGTTTAAAAAAAAGACATTTACCTTCTATTTTTAGATGACTGATTGAATAAAAAAACTTATCACATTACCTCTCCCCCAAGAGACAAAAACTGTTACCAAAAATATATTCCAAGAAGAGAAACTTTTCTTGGAGTAGAAGTTTAATTTAAAAAAACAGAAAAAGAAAAAAAAAGACTCAAGCAAATCATATGCCAAGTAAGAAAAAGAAATGGTAGATTCAAAGGACTTTTGTCTTTTGCATCTGATATCTAATAGACTTTTTTGTGCTAAGCTGAAGATAATCATTTCTCATCATCTTTATCAGAAACTCCAGAAGGCTCAGCCACATGCAGAACTGGTAATTAAGCTGTTAAACTGGGAGGTGGTCATCCCTTCAGGTGAATTCATCTGTTGTCAGATCCTCCAATCCTTCCCTCCCCTCTAGGTTCCTAAATTTCCTCTGACATGTTCCTTTTTTGTATCTCATGTGTTGAGAATCTTAAGAGCAGGTCTGGTTTTCAACTAGCTAAAAACTGCATTATACCCTTGGTTAGACACAGGAGGACATTCTATAAATATTCTATAAATATAAATGATATATAAAAAGAAACTAAAGAGTTTAGGAAAGTAAGCTTGTAGACATACTATCAAAGCCTTCTTGCATTTTGCGCGAGGAAGAATTCAAACACCAAGTAAAGTTAACTAGAAAGCTAATGAGAAAGGCCAGGTGTGATGGCTCACGCCTATAATCCCAGCACTCAGGGAGGCCAAAGCAGGTGGATCACTTGAGATCAGGGGTTCCAGACCAGCCTGACCAACATGGTGAAACCCCATCTCTACTAAAAAGACAAAAATTAGCTAGGTGTAGTGGCACGTGCCTGTAACCCTAGCTACTCGGGGGGCTGAGGTAGGAGAACAGCTTGAACCCAATAGGCAGAAGTTGCAATGATCAGAGATCATGCCATTGCCCTCCAGCCTGGGCCACAGAGTGAAACACTGTCTCAGACAAAAAAAAAAAAAAAGAAAGCAAGCTAATGAGAAGAACATAAATCCCCTCAAACAAATTTATAGTTCTATCAATTATAATGCTTTTCAGTTATTCTGCATAATTCTTTACATAAATTTTGACTCTTTCTTTTATAAAGTTAAAAGTTATAAGAATTTCTTCAGACAAAATGTACAATTAATCTCAAATCTTCTAAAGGGAAAAGCTAAGCTCTGATAGTTTGAACTGCTGTTTTCTGGAAAATGCTGAGTAAAAGACTGGCTGGCATAAGTAGCTACAGACTTGACTTTAAAGCCCATTGCACTATCTCTGAGAAATAAGATACTTCATATGGTGAGTTTAGAGAAAATTATTGTATTCCTTCAGGATAGTCAGATCAAAGACCAAGAACTCAACCCGGCTAAAATATTATTATCTCATAGCCTCAGTAGCCAGCATTGCATGGCAGATGCAATAACATATAAAATAATATTTTTAAAGTACCTGTTTACCAGGACATGTAAAGTGGGTATAATCTGAGTGACACTTAAAATATTATTTTAAGTATTATTTTAAATATTATTTTTTATTCTTTCCAGGTCCAGCTCAAATGGCAGTTCCTCCAAAAAGCCTTTCCTGATAGAAATCATCTTATCCCCATTGTATCTCATATATCATATGAGATATATGAGATATATATATATATATCTTTGTTTTTCATGCTATTACTTATTGATCACTTGCTAAGTAAGTACCTGCTACTCATCAAAAATCAAACCTACATGAAAATAAAGCATGGGTGAAATTATACTGAAAATATATTTCAGTTTGCATACACATTTTTAGAAATACAGAGAAAACATTATACAGCATATGTAACAGCAAACATTAGGTGCTTTCATTTATCTTAGAGATATATTACTGTTTTTTTATGGTCCAAGGGAAAAGTTCATAACTTTGCAGTGAAAGCATTCAATTTCATAGCAAATCTCTCTGAGTGTTCAAAAATCCCACAAGGCTACACTTCATGAAGGCTGACATAATTTGCTTAAGCACTGTTGGATCCTCAGTGTCTTAGAAAGCCAAGTAATAGGTGTTCAATTTATTTTTATTAGAAGACTAAAGTATTATATTATCTCATTTAAACTTATTTAAAAGAAATTGAAATCATTTTTGTTATCATTTTACAGATGAAACAATAGAAATCAAGAGGGTGAGGGTAGGTAATTTGTTCAGAAACATACGGTTTTAAGGAAAATACAGGAATCGGGGAGATACAGCATGAGTCTTCCTGGCTCCAAACCTTGCTTTTAACTACTCCATTACACCTCCTATTACAGTACTCAGAGGATTTTCTTCTTTCCGTCTTTGTACTGGAGTTACATGACAGCATGGAAGCAGGGGTCATGTCTTTATAACCCTAATATATGAGACCTTGTACCTCATAAGCATCCATAAATATTTGCTAAATTAGTGTTTGAATTAATGAGTCAAACTATACTAATGCATTCAATTACAATGTGTTAGTAATATAGAGCAAATAACATTAAAAATAACTAATATTTGGCCAGGTGCTGTGGCTCATGCCTGCAATCCCAGCACTTTGGGAGTTGGAGGTGAGTGGATCATCTGAGGTCAAGAGTTCAAGAGCAGCCTGGCCAACATGGTGAAACCCTGTCTCTACTAAAAATACAAAAATTAGCCAGGCGTGGTGGCACACACCTGTAATCCCAGCTACTCAGGAGGCTGAGGCTGCACAATCACTTGAACCTGGTAGGCAGTGGTTGTGGTGAGCCAAGATGACACAATTGCACTCCAGCCTGGGAGACAAGTGTGAAACTCCATCTCAAAACAAACAAACAAACCAACAAAAACCTAATATTTGATAAGCTCCAACTATGTGCCAGGTTTCTTTTTTTTTTTTTTTGTAATTATATCTCTTACTTTGATATCATTGTAAATCTATATGCAGTTATAGGTTTGAGAAAGATAATATTAATATTTCTCAAAATTAATTTTGAGAAATCTTGTAGCGCCATTACCGAGTTTCCCACAAGGGTAACATCTTGTAAAACTTTAGTGCAATGTAACAAACAGGATATTGACACTGACATAGGCAATGTTTTTAAGAAATTGATCATAAGAGAGCTTGGTCAAAGATTTGACTAACATTAAAAGATAATAGCCTCTAAAATTATTTTTAACTCAGGTTTTTGTTCTTCCTTTTTGAATGTTGAAAACTATGTTAATAGACAGCTACCAGCTCATTAAAAAAATTATAATAATTCATAAAATTCACGTGCAATTTGGAAACTTGGTATTTTTTTTAATTCGCCTAAAATATATGATCATTTTCTCAAACTGAAAGCTTCTTTTCCAGAAAAATTTGCGATGTGTTTTAAATTATTTTAGTAGAGCTATTTACCAATGCCCTGAGAGCACTATTATGTTATGGATTTTAAATATCAATGCTATAATTGAAAGTTTTTTTTCTGGAAATCCAGCGATATAGCTTCAAAAAAAAACAAAAGCTATGAAATAATACAACAGATACAGAGGGAACATTCTTAGAGGGACATTGACAATTTATTCCATACAGGAGAAAAGAAGAAAGATATAAAGCTAATAATCTATGTTTATATCTTAAGAAGTGAAGAGGAAAGAAAGCAAATTAAATATAAAGTAAACAGAACAAAATGGGAAAAAACAAAAAATAAAGAAATTAGTGAAATAATGAACAAACAATATAAAAAGTAATCAGCTGATTCTTTGAAAAGATTACAAAAAATCATAAACATTATCACAAGAATCATCAAGAAAAAAAGAGCAAAGTACAAACTTTCAATACCAACATTGAACGAAGGATTGTAACCATAGATTTTACAGATCTTGTTATTATAAAAGATTATCATGAACACTTTATCCTGATAAATGCAGCAATACAGATAAGATGCACAAATTCCTTGAAACATGCCATTTACCAAAACTGACACAATAAAAACTAGATTATGATAACATATCTAGGTGGATTAAATAAATCAGATTTGTGATATAAAAAGTTAAAGCAAGCCCGGACACAATCACTGGTGAATTCTATCAAACATTTACGGAATATATGACACATCAGTTCTAAACAGATTGGTTCAGAAAGCAGAAGAGGAAAGAACATTTATCAACACATTTTATGAGGCCAGAATATCCTGATACAAAAGTCAGACAAGAACATCATCAGAAAAGAAAATTACAGAAAAGAAAAATCCCTACACACATAGACACAAAACTCCATAATTAAATATTGGAAAATCAAATCTGGAAATATATTTTAAAATATTAAAATATAATATGTAATGTAATAATATATGTAATATATTACATAATGGAATATATTATATAATGGAAAAATGACATTTATCCTAAAAATTCAAGGTTGGTTTAACTTTTGAAAATCAGCAAATATAATTCATAAATATAATTTATGACATCCATAGATTAAAAGGGAAAATATTTTAT